GATAGATAGATAGATAGATAGATAGATAGATAGATAGATAGATAGATAGATACTGCTGCATAATTTCTTTACTTCTCTCTATGCCTGACTGGGTGTATGCTTGTGTCTATACATATGTGTATGTTTGTCTACATGTGCATACAAATGTATATGTTTGTGTGTTGGGGTGTTTGTATGTATCGTGTGTGTATGTGTGTGTGTGTGTGTGTGTGTGTGTGTGTCATGCTGGAGGTAGAACCTAGGACTTTGTGCACAGTAGACAAAAGCCCTACTTCTGAGGGGATCCCCAGCCTCCTTTCTTCTTTTTATTGTGGTAAAACCGAGATCACAGACAATCTACCACCTAAACCATGCCTTACAAGTACTGTTCACTGACACTTTTAATACACATGTAACAGCTACCCTGGCACCACCACCCGTCTCCCATGTGCTTCATGCTGTAGAACGGGGCTTCTGGGCCAGGCTATTTTAACCTCTGCACACTCTCCCCCACTCCCGCATCTGCATTAGCGGCGTGCAGACAGGCCACGGCAAACCATTAGCACAAGGCCAAAGGTCACAAATATTTGTCAAAAAACTCAAGAAAACTGACTTTGCGACCTGATGGATGCAATTTCCTTCCAAAGTGTGTTCTCGATTAGTTCTTTATAAAAATGACTAACCAAGGAGCTTCAAGATGGCCCATGATCATAGTCCCAAAGAGTAACTCACCCAGTGAGCAAGCTGTGAACTTTCCAGCCCTTCAAAGAGCAAGCCTCGGTTCAGGGACTATTTATAACCCCCATATGTCTTTAAAAACAAACAAACAAGCCGGGTGATGGCGGCGCACGCCTTTAATCCCAGCCCTTGGGAGACAGAGTCAGGCAGATCTCTGTGAGTTAGAGGCCATCCTGGTCTACAGAGTGAGATCCAGGACAGGCGCCAAAGCTACACAGAGAAACCCTGTCTCGCAAAACCAAACCAAACCAACAAACAAACGGGCCAATAACTGAGCAGAGGGATGCCAGGCCCAACTGTGTGCAGGTAACCTCGGCTAACTGGAACTTCATAGGCTGTCTGTGCCCACTCTCCTCATTTGTGCCACTACCTTTTATTCCTGGAAAATGATCCTGATTTAAATGTGCTAAGCTTACAAAGTGCGCCAATCATTTTCAAAGACTGCAACAGTGAGTGTTGCAGGGGTCTGCAATGGTGTGCAGGAGAAGCGAACGCTACGGAGGCCGTTGGGAAGCGGCTGCAGCCCAGGGAACACCACACCAGGCAAACGGAGGAGAGCAGTTCAGCCTTTGGGTTAAAACTTTTAAGATCCCCAGTGCAGGGGCCACCTAGCGTGGAGTGCCTTTCCCTGCTTCTCTCCCTTCTTTCTTCCTCTCCATTTCTTTTCTCAGAATCGTAACAGAGAGATTGAAAATGACCAATAGAGGATGTGCCAAAATCTCATCCCTGGTCCTCTGTGTGATGGGTGGGGCGGGACCATTAGGCTGGATGCAGCTGTCACCCAGGCCATCAAAAGAGGAAGCCAGAATGATGTGTTTGAGTGATACAAAAGGGAGCCCACTGGCTGCCAGTGCCACTTACTGCTCTAACACTTGGGATCGACCCAAAGACTGTAAAACAATGCCTCTCCTGCTGGGCTGCGCCACGGAAACCAGCCAGCAGTTATTAAGCAGTACTTGGCACTGAAGTGTTTGGCGGGAAAAATGTTTACTTCCCTCTCTGCTGCTGGCCCGTCACACAAAGTGGAACTCCTCTTGCAGATCCGAGTAATTTGGGCTTTTGTTGTTGTTAACGGTAGCGGTGGTTTGGGTTTGGGTTTTTGAGACAGTCTCAATCTGTAGCCCAGGGTAGCCTCAAGCTTGGGTGAATCCTCCTGTCTCGGCCTCTTGTGTTCTGGGAGTATAAGCAGGCAATATCTACCTGGCTTTATCATACCTGTTAAATGTCCAGAAATAATTCACTATTTATAATTGTGCAGAAGATGAAGAGAAAAAAATGAAAGACAAGACAACACAATTTTTAAAAGTATGAAAGTAAGACAATGTAATTTGTCTCAAGTTTTCACCTTGAAATGACCTTTTTCTCCAGCCACAAGATGGTGTGGGTGTGGCACCTAGGAGGGAGGAAAACATCCAAAGGGGGTTGTGGTGGGGGGCTGGATTGGCCAGCTTAGAAAGAAAGGTGCTTACGTGAGCGGAGACATCGTTCTGGTGGAAAGCCTTCCGCAATGCCTGAGTGAGCCCTTTGGTTACGCCAAGCTTCAAGGACTCACTGCTCTGCACTCTCCTCTGGGTTAGGAAGAGGACTGTGGGGTGAAACAGAAGCACAGTAATCAGCGGCAAGAGTGACCCTCATAATGAACAAGCATCCCCCCAGCCTCTGTGTCCATCAAATCCAGAGTAGAGCTGGACAATAAGCAAAGACCCGCCAATCAGGGGGCAGGCCGGGGGAGTGACTACCGGTCTGATGAAGGACCAAACCCTTTATGAGGTCTTAATGCCAAGGAGCTGGTATGTTGATGGTGCTTCATTCCCAACCCATGCTGCCTCTAACTGTGAGGACCAGCCTCTGTATGCCTGGCCCCCAGCGTGTCAACCTGCAACCACATTTCTGTAACAGCATCCAGTGATGTGCTTAGAGACTGGCCCTGAGCTGGGCTCTACAGCTCTATCAACCCTGCATCCAGAGGGACAGGTCCACCTCACAGGTGGGGATGCAAATGCGAATCTGTGACGGAATTTAACTGTCACTATGAGAAGGAAGTCAGAGCTCTGCCAAGGCTTCCGGCAGAGGCTGGGATCAGGGAAGGTTTCCATGGGAATTGATGCTTCTGGTGAGTACTGAAGGGTAGCAGCGGTCAGTCAGCTAGGCAAGAGGAAGGGACTGCCATCCCCCTGACTCCAGAGCCAGGGGCGCCAAGTGAAAAGGCATGAGGAGAAGGAGGCGAACCTTGTCAGTGTCCGTGTTTGGCTTGGTTCTAAGGGAGAGAGGACATGGGGATTTAAGATGAAGCAATGAATTCTAGAGGATTTCCCTTTGACTACATGCTGGTAAATAGACGGAAGAAGACAGAGGTCTGAAGACAGAGGTGTGTGCAGGGTTACTGTGCTGGTGGTGGCAGGCACTAGGGGCGGAGCAGAGGGAGGCAGGATGGAGAGAAGGGATATTCAGGAGTGAGACTGGAAAGAATCGAGGGCTGGTCAGCTGTAGCTAGTGTCGGGAGGAAGGAGAGAGAGAAGAGAGCAGCTGAGAGGGTGATTCTGCATGGGGTGGGGGCTGGGAGCAGGCCTGGCCCTGGAGAGGGGAGGGGGGCTAAGAACCCAGATGGTATAATAGAGAAACAGAAAGAGATACTGTATTTTCTGCTATGCCTAGCTTCACAATTTCCCATTTTAGAATAAGACACGTCTCAAGATATAATTTCCTTTCATTCTTTGTGGGGTGAGGAGGAAGGCGGGAATGAGCATTCAACACTGGCATGCTCTTTGAAATAATTTGTCTAATGCTTTTTATAGAAAACACTACTGCACTATTCAGAACACTCTAGGCATTCTAGACTTCCTCTCTGCAACTAGGGAGTGGGGTAGAGAAGAGATCCACCCCACTAACCTCAAAAGAGATCCTCGCTCTCCTCCCGACCCCCTCCCCACCGTTTCCCCTTATGATCCAACTGTCCAGTTGGTATCTGCTGATTAGGAAAGCCTTTCTGAACGGTGCAGCAATTCCCAAGATTTTGTGTTAAATGAATCATATCGTTTACGCCTGTGAGACATCACTGGTGTACTTCACAGACAAAACACGCTGTGTTCTCAAATTCCCTGGCCCACTGGAGTAATTGCGGTTTCCCTGGACACTTCTGATGTCAGAACCAATCCTAGGACTAGATTCTGCGTCATCTAATGTCCCCCTTTTCTGCCACTTGATGAGAGTCAAGGTTTCTCAACCTTGGCATACTCTCTTTCTCCCCACCCTCAGCCGTGTGTGTGTGTGTGTGTGTGTGTGTGTGTGTGTGTGTGTGTGTGTGTGTGTGTGTTCAGGTATGTGGAGGCCAGAGGGCAACCCTAGGTTATTCCTCAGGTACTACCCACCTTGTTTTCTGAGACAGGATCTCTCATCACAGTTCCTCAAGTAGGCCAGACTTGGGATCAGTGAGCTCTGGGATCTGCCTGTTTCTGCTTTCCTGGAGCTCTGGGGTTATAAGCTACCGTACCCAGCTTTCTTAAAACATGGGTTCCAGGAGGTCAACTCAGGTCCTCATGTTAAGCACTTTACCAACTGAGTGTTGTCTCCAGCCACAGTTAGTCTTTATTGTGCAAACTGAGCATTGTGAAATGTTAACATAATCCCAGATGCCCGACAGGTTCCAAGAAACACTCCCTTCCCAAAGTGTGACAACCAACATGTCTCCAGACGCCGCCCAATGCCCCCTCAGAGAGGGAGGGTGAGAGCACTCCTGATTGACAAGCACTGATCTAAGAGAACTTATTCCATCAAATTGCTGAGGTCAGGATTACCCCTCTGTCCTCAAACCAGGAAAACAGTGGCCGCTCGCTCACCTGTCTTTACTAGGAGCCTGGGGGACATCTGACAGTCCAAGTTGGAGGCCACTCTGCCCGTCGTGACCACTGCTGTAGACACAGCTGGAAAAGCAGCATCCGTGTTTCCTGTCTGCAAAGAGGGCAGTCTCGTGGCCTTTACCGATGCTGTCATGGACGTGAGTGCGGCTGTGACCGTCAGTGGGCGGGTCGTGGATGCTCTGGCTGTGTCTGGCCTGGTGGGATTAGGGAGGCCAGTGTGCATGGCTTGTGGTTTCTTGGGGAGGTGTGTTGTGGACAACAGGCCTGAAGCAGAGCCTGTGGCCCCTTGGGTGGCCGTGTGCGGGCTCATGCTGTGTGCTGTCCGGGCAAGCATGTAGGTCGGTGTGAATGGGAAGGCAGTGTGGAATGTCCCTGCTGTCACCTTTGGGCTTGATGCCGCCTTATGGGTGAGATTTTTAGCTAGAGCTGTGGTCAGACTGCTCTTGGCTAAACTGCTGCTGCCGCCGCCAGCGCCCTTAGCAGTGAGGGCTGCTGGCAACGCTGGGCTTGACTTCCTCAGGAACAGGGTGGTGGTGGTGGTGGCGGCGGCGGCGGTGGCGGCAGCGGCGGCCGCTGTCGACTCTCCCTTGGGTGACACGGAGGTTCCCACTGCAAAGAGAGAAAAGGAAAAGTTTGTCACTGGCCCAGGAGGCACACATCACTGTCCTGATGGTGAAGGGATGTCAGTTGTGAGCTTGCTAGTGTAAGAAGTCTCTACACTCCAGGCTTGCAGCGGGGAAGAGCTCAGGCGAAACAACCTTAGGTTCATTAAGTCAATTAGCCATAATGAGGATGCCACTTACAGCAAAGCCATGGTTGTTGATAACAAGGACATAAATTCTGAACACTTTCAAAAAAAGAACTCAAGTAGGCAGGGAGGGTCAGCGGCATGCCTGTCTGGAGCTGTACCTCACTACTGAACGAGGGGAGGCAGGCTGCTTCAAAGCAAAGCTGGGCATCTGTGTCGAGCTTGAAGATGCTTTGGCCGAAAAAGCAGTCATACCTGTTTTCTGGGTACCAGGAAACAAACTACCTGCGTTAGTGGCTGCACCTGTCCATTTCTTGGGGCGCCGAGAAGTTCGCAGCACTTTGGAGGGGGTCCTGGAAAAGGCACCAGTTGATATGGAAGGTGAGTCCGAAGAGGAATGATATTCCAGGACACTCTGGAATTGCGGGGAGACATTTTTCCCGGGTGATAGATAGATGTCACTGGAAATTTGTGAATCTGCATCTGTTCCATCTGAAAGCATTTGCTGCAAGCTAGCCGCAGAAGCTAAACTTGGCCAGGTTGGCCACAGAGGATGGGCTGGCCGGAGAGGCAGCTGTGACATAGAATGCTGACTTGTGGGTGGGTAATTATCAATGATCGCTGTGTCAGAGTCTCTGCTTGTGAGCCAGAGGTCTGTATGGCTTTCAACTATGACCCCTTCTGATGGTTGGAGGGGCTGATTGCCACTTTGACCGAAGACTAGATCCTGAAAGTTAAAGCTGTCTGTAGTTACCAACTGCCCAGCAGTCTCTTTGAAATGCTGAGATTCTATCGCATTGGCAGCTGGAGTTGTACCACCAGGAAGAGTCGCTGAGGCTGGATGAGGTTCCCGACTCGTGGAGTTAATTGCGTGAGTGTTTAAATCATGATCCGTTTGCCACGGTGAGCCAGATATGGTCGATTGTGTGGAGAGGGATGCAGTTTCTGCTGAAAGAGAGCTCCAGAAAACATCTGTGGCCGCTGGCTTTCTCATGCCTCCCATTGTTGGGAAATCATAGACATCAGTGGAGGAGGGAAGCGCTGTCACCTGTTTGGAAGCGGAAGCTGGCAATGCAGACAGGCTTGTGACAGCTGTGAGAGTCTCCAGCTTGGTGCTGGAAGAGCCAGGAGAACCTGCCTGAGGGCCTTGTGTGGCAAGCATGGATGATGGAGGTGACCCTGAAGGATAGAGCTCTGTTCTTAGTGCTGTCTTGATGAGAGGTGAAATATGACCTGTGTTAAAATCAGAGGTGAGTTCATTCACTGCATGAAGACTTGAAGCCTCTTGAGTTGAAAGGGCCCACGGAGGAACGGTCCCCTTTGCCTTTCCATTTTTCCCAAAAATGGCTGTCACCCTGTTCTCTTTTTGCTGAGGAAATGTCCAAATTGTAGGAGGAAGATTAGGACCTCTGCTTGAGAGGAGGTGTGTGGCTGCATCTGGAAGGTATTCATCGTGGCCATCTTCCTGGGGAGTGGATGCCTCCGGCCCAGGGGCCAGGGAGGCATGATCTCTAGTGGGCTGGAGGATAGTAAGCAGGGAGGGAGGGGCACCTGTCCCCTTCGGTGGGGATCCAGGAGTGGCCTCAGGAGGGACCATTTGCCCTTGGCGGGGTGTAGTGAGAGGCACAGGAGCCAGTACAGAGGAAGGGGTGTTTTCTGGGGGGAGGGTGGGCTTCCTGGAATTCTCCGGCGCTTCTGACAAATGTGGCCAGGTGGCGGAGCTATTTGCAGGAGGAGCAGGGGCTAGCTCTCTGCTGCTCATCACTGACTCTGCAGTCTGGAAATGTAGAGGCCAAGCCTCATCGCTTGCGGCCGCTGTGCTCAAATTAATCAGCAGTGGTCCCCCACTGCGCCCTCGGACAGCCCCCGCTGTGTGGACTGGCTGGGTGGATGCAGAACCTGAAGCCTCTTCCAACATGGACCACGAGGAGCTTCTACCTGGAAGGCCTCCAGAGGCTAGGGAAGGCAGAGACAGGTGGTCCAGGTCTGCCATGGAGCTCAGAACCCCAGGAGTGGGGGAACCTGCTGAGCGGGGACTCCCTGATGGGGATAGCTCAGAGTACTGCGTTGTTGAGGATCTAGAAAAGTCTAGACGAGGGGTCCCTGTGAATGTCCCGACATTTCTGGGTGGAAAATGGTTTGTTTTGTGAGAAAATGGGTTTAGGACAGTAACCGGGCTCTGACCTGAAGAAGAATGAGCTGGTGTGATCTGGGGAAACAAAGGCACTTTGGTGGAATGCTCTACAGGCTTAGGAGCGGGGATGGAATGAGGTGAACCGGGGGCCCATGAAGATGATGACGGTGCAGTGAGAAGTGGAAGGCTGTCTGACCTCAAGAGATGCTTGGAAGGGGAGAGAGTCCCCACCAGAGGCTGTGATGGGGAGGTGGCCCTCAAGGGGGCTGAGGGGGCTGTAGGCAATGGGGGCAGCATGCTGGTGTGAGGCAAACCTGACATGGCCGCTCCTTCTCCTCCCCCTTCAGGCCTTGTGTGGACCACAGTCTCAGTGGAGTCCTTGGCAAGATCCAGGGAGGCGCTGTGTCCACTTCCTTGGTAAAGGGATGAAGAGAGGTCCACACGAGCCCTGGTCCTGCGGTGCGCCTTGGGCAGAGGTGTCTGGGAGAGCTGCGGCATGCTTGTGTTGTCAGGAGGCTGTCCCAGAACATTCTTAAATCTGTCTGCTGCCGAGGAAGACTTGACTTCCAAGAAAGGCCATGTTGGTGAAATCGGTAACAACTTCCCGAGAGGAAAGGACTCTGAGGTCGGAGTGACATGGATCTGTAGACTGTCTGTCCCTGTGAAAGGAAGCATCCACGTGAGACCTGGGATCGGGGTACAGTGACGGTGGGCAGGTGCTGGAGACAAGGAGCAGGCAAGACAGGCCCTGCCTGGCCACAGAGCCCTTCCATTCATCATAGAGCCTTCGCGAAACAACTCAAACAAGGAACTAAGTAAGTACACGTGTGGGTTGCAAGGAACCCACAGGGCACTGCTATAAAAATTAGTCTTTGATAAAGGAATTTTTGTTTTGTTTTTTTCAAGACAGGGTCTCTCTGTGTAGTTTTGGTGCCTGTCCTGGATCTCTCTCTGTAGACCAGGCTGGCCTTGAACTCACAGAGATCCACCTGGCTCTGCCTCCTGATTAAAGATTAAATCTGCTGGGATTAAAAGTGTGTGCCACCACCGTCCAGCCAAAGGATCTTTTTTTTTTTTTTTTTTTTTTTTTGAGGCAGGGTTTCACTATGTAACTCACAGAGATTTGCCTGTTTCTGCCTCCTGTTGCTGGGATTACAGGCATGTATCAATCATGTATCAATCAGGCCTGGCAGATGAAGGGATTTTTGAGCAATGCTATTTTTGTTTCTATTTCTTACCAGGCTTAAAGGCCACAAAAATCAGACAGATGTGGCTGCCTGCAGCTAGCAAATGACACCGAAATAGATCTGAGCCAAGAACACAAAATGCACAGGACTGAAGAAGGACCAGTTTCCACCAACGAGTTCTTCAGGCCCCTCGTGCATCTCAAGAAAAACATCTCCAAGGAAAAAAATGGCTTCAATGAAATGCAGTCCTCTTGGATTTAAAAGGATTTCTGGTTCTTTGTTCATGCTGTGTCAAGGAGCAGAAGCGATTTCTTTCACATTAGGTTATTTCCAAAGGAGAAATTATTCCTACCCTACCTAGGACAGGAGACGCTTCTCGAAAGGCCTGGTGTCACTAGAAGCACCTGCTGAGACTGTCAGCACAGTGTGTGACACCCCAGTAAAGGTGGGGAGGCCTTGGCACACGCAGGAAAGGGAGGCGGGGAAGATGGAAATGTGAGATGGTGCATGTCCTGCCTCCTCTGTGACGCCCCCCCCCCTTCCTGGCTGCTCTGGGTTGATGGTCCAAAAGGTAGCTAAGTGTCCTTAGCAATATTTCTCTCCGTGTGTGTGTGTGTGTGTGTGTGTGTGTCACACGTGCATGTGTCAACACAGATGTGTGTAAGGGTATCTGTGCATGTGGAGGTCAGACATCACCCTTTGGTGACATTTGTCCACAGTTCTTTGAGGTGAGATCTCTCACTGGGACCTGGAAACTTGCCAACTAAGCTAGGCTAGCTGGCCAGAGGACCCCAGGGAGCCATCCTCCTGTCTCCACTTCCCCCATGCTGGTATTGCAAGCACTCAGGAGCTTGTTTAGCTTTTTACTGGCCTCTGGAGACCAAACTCAGTTCCTCATGCTTCAGGGGTAAGGACTTTACAGGCTGAGCCATCTCCTCAGGCCCTAGGGCTTTAAGAGTTTGAAATGAAAGGAATGGTACTTCTGAGGAAGCTATCCTAAGCCTGATTGGCTCCTTATAACCATGTCAGGACTCTGTGACCCCTACCCACAGGACCCAAAGCTCCTGGTGGCTCAGCCAGGTAAACCTACCTTCAACAGACAACGGTGCCAGGAGACACATGGCTCCAGGACACTCAAGTCTACATAGCACTGTACTGAAGTCCCTGCTCTTCTCGGGACCTGCTTCACTGCTTACAGTGGAAATTGTGCTCCAGTGTTACCACATACGACCTGAGGTGTTCTTCCAACCAGCTGAAGTCTCACATGGAAGGCACATACTAACTCAGCATTCACGCTTTGTCCTCCACAGCCAGTGCTGTTTATATCCAAACAAACGGGTCTGGTGATGCATGTGAGTGAACAGAGTATCTAATTCAGTTTTGCTGTTTGCTATAGTTTATTTTAGAATCCTTTTTTTTTTTTTTTTTTTTTTTTTTTTTTTTTTTTTAAGGATTTGGATGTCAGGTGAAATCTATGTAGGATCCCTGTGTCCTTTTATTGAAACAGATTCAGGCATTAGTCTGATTCCAGAGTCAAAACAAACTCATCTTGTTTCAAAGACATAGCCTCATGTCAAGAAGGATGCTTAGGCCAAGCAGCTTTTGCTTCTAGCAAGATCTTCTCTCACAACCATGTTGCAAATGGGGGGAGGGATGGATGCTAGGAGGTGATGTGAGGGTCACTGACACAACCAAAGGAGGCTGATGAAAAACCCCAGGCTAAAGATAGAACCACGGCCTATGGTGGAGTGGTTTCTTCTGACTAGAATGCAGGGTTGCCCACAGGAGCCTCTGTTCTCCTACACAATCCCCAAGTGCATGGGGAAGGCAGTATCGATGAACGGCTTTGAGACATGCCATCTGCTGTGCTCTGGTGTGACGCTCATTAATGCTACCGCTCTCCTTCTGAGCACATGACATCATGAAGCTTCATGAATGAACTTCTTAAAATACCACGATGATTGGCTGACACCATGTGACTAGCTCCCGCTAATGAGTTACAAACAAAACTGGCCTTCTGGGTAAGACATTTAAATGCTGAAGGAAGACATTCCAGAGATCGCTTTCCAGGCCAGTGAGAGGTCTCAGAAGATGAAGGCACGAGACATCAGGTCTGACAACTTGGGCCCAACAGTGTGTGTCTGTGCATACAGGTATGAGCGTTGATCTCACATGGTGGGCATCTAGAGGTCAAATGACGGCTTTTGGGAGTCATTTCTGTCCTACTGTATGGGCCCTGGGGATCAAACTTGAGTCATCAGGGTAGTTGGCAATCCCATTTATCCTCTGAGCCGTCTTGCTATCTCCAAATGTTGTGTTTTAATTCAGCTTTATTTCATAGTATTCAACTCTTAGAATATGTGTGAGATATTTCTCAAGCACATTTGACTTCAGAATACAGTAACTTAAAAAACTACCAATGACATACATACAGCTGAGGAGGAAGCCACACTCACTGATTAGCAAGTGATACACATTCAGAAGATAATTGGTATGAAGAAGTACAGAGAACAGTGTTTCAAAGACATGTCAGCTAACTGAAATTGTTGGTAAACAAAGACACAGACTAGGAGTTAATACATGGGCTTGACTGTGTTCAAAACTTCCTTATGCAGAAATAGGGTGGGAAACTCTCTTTAAAAGTAATGTACTTTCTGTGTAGGAGGAGCTGACTGAAGTTCACCATGAGCTTGAAGAAATTCAAGCCACTAAGACAAAGCTTAGCCTGCAGTAAAAATTCTGCCATTCTTAAACCAGGAAGTATTTCATACACTGAAATTCATATCTATATATAATCTATAGGCCACAAGTAATGACATAAACATTCAATTGCCTATAACAAAGCAGAAGAACAGAGTCCATCCTTCCAGAGCCTTCCTACCGTTCTCTCTCTGACACCCATTTCCTCCCCCTTGGTGATGGCCAGCATCATAGGCTGCATTTTAAGAAATAAGTGAGGAGGTTAGAGCGACAGCTCCTTGATTAAGAGTACTTGATGCTCTTTCAGAGAACCCAAATTCAATTTCCAGCACCCACACCAGGTGGTCCACAACAGCCTGTAACTCCAGTTCCAAGATATTCTATGTTCTCTTCTGACCTCCATGGGCACCTGCATATGTGTGTGTGTGTGTGTGTGTGTGTGTGTGTGTGTGTGTGTGTGTGTGTGTGTGTGTATGTGTGTGTGAAATACACATTTTTAAATGGATATAAATCTTAGGGAAAGAACAAAGAAGTGAATTAAATATAGGCAAGGACTTCCTGAACAGAACCCCAGTAGCACAAGATCTCCCGAGGACCTCTGACTGCCAGGTTCCATCCACAGAATACTCTAACTTCCCTAACTGCTGGACCCTGCAGAGCAAAAAGCTCAGTCTCTGGATATGAAATCCCACCAATCTCCACCCTGGAAAGCTCCACCCACTTCTCGAGAAGCTCCAAATAAGCCCTCTGTCCTGTTCAGTTGGCTGCTGTTTTTGACTCGAGCAGAGGCAGCCACCCTCCTGGTTTTTTTCCCTCCCTATAAATCTCTAATGTGAGGTTTGTTGTATGGTGTGACTTCGTGGTATTCTTTGGCTTCCAGCTGCCAGGATACCTTTCCATCCAAGCTGCAATGCTTACACAAGAAATAGTTCAGGAACTGGCAAACACTATAGCTCGAGCCTGAAGAGCTCTGCACAGCAAAGGCAAGTGTCAGCAGAGTGGAAAGACAGAATGAGAGAAAGCCAGCCATGCCCCAGCCAGTCTAGATCTAGGTCTGTTCCTTCTGGATAGTGCATCTAGACTCTATAAAGAACTGCGAAAATTAAATACCACAAAAACGAAACTGCCAGTCAATAAATGGGCCAATGAGCTAAACACACCTTGAAAGAAGAAATGCAAGTACCCAATTAATAATTGTTTTAAAGTCCAATATCTAACCATCAGGTAAATATAAATTAAAACTACTTAGAGATTCTGTCTCACCACAGGCAGAAGACTATCATTTAAAAATGCTGCAAAGATGTGAGGAAACAGAAACCCCCATTCACTGTTGGTGGGAGTATAGACTGGTGAGGCCACTAGATAAATCAGCATGGGTATTTATCAAAACAAAAACTAGAGCTATCATA